GATGGTTTTGATGAGATCTGAGGCACTGTAGAAGTTTCATCTTTCCTTTTGGAAAGTCCCTGCCTCGTGAAGGTTTGTCATTTCTAAGAATCACAGAAATCATCTTAAAGCAAAAGCGGAATTTTTTTCTATTTATGTTGATTTCTGTAAATATGTCTAATATTGCCTTGCCTAAAGCAAAAAGAAATGTAACTTTCATAACTTTATTCACTTTAACTTCAGTAAAAACAATTTGCTTTCACTCTGCTAGCTTTTCTTTGCAGGTATGAAAGTATATTACATCTCCTTCAAGACAATTTTTAACATGAGTTTAAATGTTAAAGCCCGCACAGAATTTTTCCAAAAGCATGTCTTCCAGGCCCAGATAAGTGGCCTACAGAGTAACACTAAAGTGTGTTAAGCCTCACTTAAATAACCTGCCAGCACTTATTTCAATTCAAGATTTTTTCAATTCAATTCAAGATGTTGATTATAAAGGTGCAGTAGTCAGTAAATAGTTTGGAGAGTTGACATTGACTGTTTGGCCAAAAGTTAAAAGCTGTGGTAATGACTTGTGGTTTCTCAGTTCTTGGATGTGCTGAACTGAAAATCTGTTAAAGATGCTTAACTTCTAGCAGCAAAAGATTTAGCATTTTCAGAAAATCAGACCAAATTATGCTTTCTGAAATTGAAGTACCCACAATTTTATTTTCTCATCTTCTCCAAGTTGTACTCTCTCATTTAAGCTGGTCTCACTGCACCTGAACTTTCACTTCAGTTTTTGTAGTTAGAGGAGATACTTGAGTATGTGTTCTCAAAGTACTTTAAGTAATTAAAAGAAATTAAGTGATTCAAATACAGTTGTCTGGTTAAGCCTCCAAAGAATATGTTCAGCTGTAATGTTTACTTAAGAGTGGATTTAAATATGAAACAAAAAGTAAAGCCACATTTATGGCCTAAGGAAACATGCAAAATATTCCTGATTTTACTTTGAAGGCTTCATTAAAAATAGCTCACCATCAAACTTCCCATTTTAAAGCTTCTGCTGTGAAATATTTAAGCCTTAACACTCAGTCTTTTGACAGTCAGCCCACTAAGGTAGCAGTGGACAGAGAGACTCAACTTCTGCATATTGATTAAAAAGAGGATAGTTCCTGTTACTCACAGGGAAAGGATTCTAGACTTGATCATGCTATTTTGAAGTGCCTCTTGGGACGAGATTCTGTTCTGGTACCTGTACATTATAAAAGCACAACTTTTGTGAAACTCTCCATGTCATGTTGCAGGAGAGAAGTAAGAAACAGTGTTAAATACTGTTGGATATTTTCCAGATTATGGAAATGTATATTTTTGTTGCTATACTATTGCTTCATATTCTATCAAAATGTAAATTATTTAACAGATGGATGTAGTTATTAGAAAATCTTGAAGTGTGAACATTCCAAGGTGTAGACTTGCTCTTAGACTCAAAGTGGGCTAGATCTATGCTAGAAATCCTCCAATAAAATAGGATGTGTTTATATGCATGCCAGAAGCCCTCTTTAAGTGGTATCACATAAACCCTCAATTGTAAATTTAATTTCAGTGAGAGCCCAATAAGGGCATAACCTCTTGCCAGTATGAGCTGTCTGTGCTTGGTAGGAACTGGCAGCAGGGCTGTCCTCCCTGATTCTACTGCTAAATATTTCTCAGGCCTAGAAGACTTTCAGCTTCCTGTAAAGAAATATATAGACTGTTTTAGAGGCAAATATACAGAAGATGGTAAAAAGAAAAAAGAAAAAATGTGAGTGTAGCTATTTGGTAGGAATGTGCCAGGTATATGTTGGTGGTCCCAAAGTGAGTGATACTTTCATGTGGTTATAATATGTTTTGGTAACTTCATGTTCTACTGTATTCAGCTTGTTTAACCCACAAGCTATGCTGCTTTAAAATGTCTCACAGTTTAAGAAGGATTCACTGCTCTTAATGGTATCCCTCTTTATCTATATGTAGGTATATGGTTATTTATCTTGCATGCCCTTGTATTTTGTTCTTAACTATTGTATTTTCATTGTTTTGTTTGAGAAGATGCAGTTATGCTATCTATATAATAAGGAACGTTCTTCTTAAATCTAAGTAATAGGTAGTGAAGGGTTAAAAATCTAAGGGCCTATTAATGTAGAGAAATGCTGACACAAGTTCTTCAGTCCTTTTCCTGACAGAACACCCATCTTTAATTTGCTCCTCTCTTTACCCATATAACATTGTACATCTGTCCTTGAAAACAGCTCCTGCAGCATGAGCCTAGCCAGTGGAGTCAATTTAGCAAAGGTTGCTGTCTGTGTCCTAGCAGTGCAGGCAGACAGCCTGGAGCTATGACTTATAATCAGCTGAACAGGTATATGAATAATTACTAAAGATAGAAACATGTGTTAATTGCTGGGTTTAATCCTGTTCTCATAAATTGCTACAGAATCACCCCCCTCCAGCATTAACCATCACCCTCCTCCTAGCATTAACATGTCAAAATGAGTATTTTTCTCAGAGCATAAGTAACTCAGAGTGTAGATTTGGGAACTTTTTTCATTTTAAGATTCTTGTTAGTATTTAAGCATACCGATACTCTCTGAGAGTCCTTTATATCTGCTTTGAAGCTTTGAGGCTCAAAGTATTTGGAGTTGACTGAGAGCCGAGTTTGTCAGTTTCTGAAAGCAAAACTTGATGTTAAGCTCTTGTTTCTCTTAAAATGATTGTCTGCTAGGAAGTTTCTTTAACTCTGAGTAAAGTCACTTTCTTTTCAGACCATTCCATTTTTTCTTCAATCACTCTGATTATCAAAACCAAGAAAACAATAAAGAATACCTCTCTCCCTGTAGTTCTATCCTGTTGCTAACACAGTAATCCTCAGTAAGTGGGAAAAATGAAGAGATGCTCATAGAAATTGATTAGAGTATGAGGGAAAGAGTGACAGTGACTGCATTTGGTCTTCACCAAGAGCATTTTGCCTTATTAGGCTACTTAGCAAGCTGAACTGTACTTTATCTCATAGTCCTCTAAAAATAACTCTGTATGGCTTTCTGGCAGATTGATACAAAAAGTGTATGATGGTGGTACATGGGGTTGTTTAAATACAAGGCTAGAAGCATGAGCTGGCCTCCAAATGATTAATGTCTTTGTATTCCAGAATGGAAGCCTTCCAAGACAGTGATGCATAGCCACCAATTTGTAACTCTTTTTTTAATTTGTAACTTTGGACTTTTATCTATCTGATTATTATATATTATATATGTTTGATATGGTGTCATGAAACATCTGAGTGCACTTTCAATGGTTTTCTACACTCCACAACTGATTTGAAGAAAGTGACATTCCATGTTGCTTTCATAGAGTTTTTAAAAACTAAAAAAAAACCCACAACATAAAAAATGAGGGCATCTCAACTTTCTCATTTTCAGACTCTCACAATTCACTCATAGCACAGAGAAAAAGTTCTGTTATGAACTTTTCAATGTATAGAACGTAAAGAGTGAGGGTGATGAAGGATATATCTTCTCTACATCTCCTCTTACTGCATTTATGTCCCATGCAGGGGTTCTCATGCAGGGGGGGAAGACATCTCCAGCTGAGCCAGGAAACCAGAGCAGCAGCTCCTCACACTGCTGTGATGGGGCTGGCATATGAAGTGTCAACTGGATGTGAAGGCTTAGAAAGAAAAGATAAAATAAAAAAGTCACTGGGATTGACTATTCGTGGAGGGCTTATTCTTTTGAGATCTTAATGAGGAATATTAATGCAATTTAGATTCCTGGAAAATAATTGTGAAGAGTCAAAACAGTTCAGACTGGATTTACAATGCCAAGAAGTGTTCAGGAGCCCTAGCAGGGCTTCTACTTCCCAAGCTTCAGTTTCATTTACCCTTTTGCATCCCATTAGTTCTACATTGCCTCACAAGATGCTATTCTGATAGTTTTCTATCTTCTTTCACTGAGACCTGATTAAGTTGCTGTCTTCAGAGCTGCCTCCTTATCCCCTTGAACAATTAATCAGGGAGAGAGAAAGCTTAGCTCTAATTAACCCACAGCTTGCCAGAGGTGGGGCTTCTCCTATATGCTCAATAAAACCAAGTTTTTTTAGGGAGAATATATTCTTAACCATCTTGAAATGCAGAAGAAAAAATGTTTTCTTGAAGTGCATACTAAAACTTTCCTAGAGAGGTAATAGTCCTCGTTGCATTTGAAAGTCTTGCTTTGTTATAACAAAGTTTTTAGTATTTTGCAGAACATACAGGTGCTGAAAGATTTGTTTGAAATCTAAAGAACTGTTCATCAGATATTCCCCCAAAGTGGCAGAAGGTTAAAAATGTCTAAACTACATGAGGACAATCAAGCAGCTTACAAGATGTGGTATAGAAATATTTTATCAAAACTTAGTGAAAATATGGATGTTTTAGAAATCCACTTGATCATGCTGAAAAAATGAATGTTGAATGGAAAGGACTTCAGTTAATTCTGATTTCTTTCTGATTTTCTAGAAATGTCATGAGCTCTAGCCCAGATGCCAGAAGAGGCACTGAAAGCCATTTTTGCCATGCACCAGTTTACCAAGGAATTCCACTAGAAACATTCAAAAGTTAGAAAAACAATGAAGCTCCCATGTAATGAAAAGCAGAATTTAAAACATACATTAGCATTTGTAGCAAAATAGGTACATTAAAATAAGAGCAGAGCATCACAGGTGGGGTATGTTACATCTGTCTTTAAAATTGCCCGAAGAACAAGTCAGGTTGTGAGGGCACAGCTGCAGTGGCTCTGCTGTGGTTGAGATAGTGCTGGGGACAACTCTGAGCTGAGGCCACCACTACAGTGATACCTTAGGCCTGTAAAGCCTCTCTTCTGACTGCCACACTTCATCACAGATGTGATTTTTCCTTCCTGTACTTCGTCCTTTATTTCTGCATGCTCCGGTTACTTTTGCTTTGCAGTTTTGCCTGAAAGTATAGATGTGAAGAGAACCAAAGATACAAACAGTGAATGGCTTCAATGTGTATTTCTGAGTGGTTTTATTGCATTGTAATTTTATAGATCATCTTGTTTTTCTGCACATGGTAAAGGCATTAAATCAAAAGAAAGAATGAAGGAAATAGAGATTAGAAAATTGCAACATTATTAGATGGACTTAAGGTCTCCTTTTCCAGATATTTTGGCAATTGACAGAGGTGTTCATCAGGGTGCCCAAAGGTCTATCCTGAGCCTTTGCTGAGAGTTGAAGGAGTATTGTTTTGTAATGGGGTAACAAGAACATGAGCATTTCCATGGTCTTGAAAGTTAAATAGGGTGTGTCTTTCAGAAGATTTTGAATGTTCTGGCCCAATTGCTGTGTGCTTCCAAAACAGCATTTGGTGGTTCCAGGTTCAGATCAGAGGCTTCATCAAAACATTTAGTTACCAAGGGCTACAAGCAAACAGTGGTCATGGGCAGCAGGAAAAAAACCCTACCTTTTGTAACTTCCCTACCTTTGCTTTATAAACCCTAATGCAGAGGGGGACCAAAGGGTATGTACTTTAGTCATAAAATTCTTTGCAATGTAGTAATCTCAAACAGGATAGGACAAAACCGTGTGAAAGGGCCTCCTTTTACTTTACTTTTAAATACTGGGTTTTCCTTCCACACCTCTCTTTAGAAGGAGTTTATTTGATTATGTAAAAATGGGTTATGCATGAAAGACACTTGATGCACAGTCAGAGGATTTCAATTTTTGTTTTTTCAAATACATGGTTGGTTTTTTACTGGGATGCAGCCCTTAGATTTATGACAGCTTCAACTGATTCAACCTACTGTGAAACATTAGGAAAAATCGACAAGGCCACTGATCCATGTATTCTGTGTATTTCAACTATGTAATTGTAAGCCTTCTAAAGAGATTTTTGAATCCTTTGAATCAACAGTAAAATATATACATATCAAGGGAACTAATTCTTGGGCAAATAACCTGCTCTAGACAAATATTGTAAGGAACTACCCTGCTGTGTTCAGCAGTGCAGCAAAACTCGGATGAATAAAGATTGGTCCCCGAGATAAACCTTTAAATCTTTGGTCATAGAAAATTTGCATTGCTAAAGGATTATATTATGAGTCAGTGGGCAATAACTGCTATTACAGCTACTTGAAGAGTTTTTCCTTACCCATTTATGCTTTCTTTCTCTGCTCTTTTCTCAGCATAACTCTGACAATGATATTCTAGCAGAACATGATGCTGTCCCTCTGTGTACAGTCTGCTTGATACTGAAGTATCCAAATGGGTGATTTGTTCTCCACCCCTCTGCAGCCTCTCCTTCTTTCACTGTTGGTGATTGCATCTTTATTACAGGTGTTGATCTATTTGCATATCACTGAAGAGGGGCATAAGCAGAAGAGAAGTGAGAATTATGTCCAAAGGCTACCTCACTTGAAGCAGTTGAAGACACGCATCATGCTGTTCATATTGAGCAGTCAAAAGCACCTGAACATATGAAAGTTGTTCACAACATTAGCTTGTTCACCATGAAAAATTGGTGTTCCATGGGCATGTCTATTGCATCATCTCAACTTAAGGACAGGCTTCTGACTTCTTAAAAATACACACCTTTGGAGAGGTATCTTGGCATGGTGAGCAATGAGCAGTACCATAAGAACATGGTTTGCTCCTGTGCCAAGCAGTGACTGACAGGATTGAGATTTAGAAATTTTGTCTGTAATACTGTTTTGCACCGACTGTCTGTGCTAAACAGACAAACGTTGCCTCCTGCTTTGAGATAAACAGGACTTCTCTGAAAATCTTCCAACTCTTCTCTTTAATCAGCTAGAGGTGGTCCAAGTAAGTGTCTCCTCTTTCCCCTCCTGTAGAACTCAAAGACGTTTGAGTTCTGACCTGTTTCCCCCTCCCCTGTGAGGCTGAGGTGGGACAAGAGCCAGCAGCAGGCACACCCCCAGACAATGGGATCCCTGGGGCCTCAACAGAGCCACACAAAGCACAGCCAAAGAGCCTGTTCTCCCATCCCCACATAAAAAAAGGTGCTTCCCAGTACAGACCCACTTCTCCCAGTAGTACGTGTCTTAAGTGAGTTGTGTTCATAGTTATCATTGCCTGAAAATAACCTTCCTTGTGATGTAATTTGACATACTGCTGTCAGAGGGGCTTAAACATAGTAATCTTTAAAAATGATTGGGAATTTGCCCTAGAGAAAAAACTGTTATGATTAATTTCTACAAATGATAAACCACTCCTTCTTCAAAATACTGCATGCTATGAAGTGTGATTTAATCCATTTGACTACAGAGCCTGATGCTTCTGACAACTGTGACTCAAATGTCATCACAGAAAGTGATATTTCAAGTGGCAGGGTGGGATTAGAAACCTGCTGAAGATTTGTCAAAGGAGAAGTAAGTACATAATTTTTAGATAAGTGATTTGTCTACTGTAAACCACTTCCTCTGAAAAGACAGGCAGGTTTAAAAGAGAAACTTAGACTGTTACACTAGAGAGAGCAATTTAATTGCAGAGAGATACTACTTATGATGGTAGGTAGAGAAAAAACCAGCATGCTTGGGAATGTGTTTTCTATACAGAAAAAAATAAAATTACTTTTCACCCTCAGAAAATAACTTAATTTGGGCTTGTATGAGGAAGGAACCAGTCTCAGTATCTGGGACCTCGTGATCACCTGATACATTCCTGTTGCTGCTTTATGTGTTTTTTCAAACTACAAAAAAACACCATGATATCTTATGAATTGTGTGAAAACACCTTAAATGCAGTAAAACTTGAAACAAGCACAGAAATGTTCATTCTATCAAGAATTCATGTAGCGTTAGAGCAATTACTAATTTCATTCACATCCACTGAGTCTGAACTCAGTGCACTTACATTAGTAAGGCAGTTTGGTCCTTGTTTTGGATTATTGACATGCTTTTCATTGCTTTGACCGTCCCCTGAAACTTGTGCTTCCTATATCTCTTCTGCCAGTCTAGCTGTATAATTTATACCTCCTTAAAGCATCGCTCCACTCTGAAAGGCAATGAAAAAAAAATGTAAGGGTCTTTACTTTTCCTGCATGTGGCTGAATCTGAAGTTTGACCAGCTGCAATGGAAACTACATTTAGTGTAAGAGTTTGTTCCAGCAGCCCCATGGGTACACCTTGCATGTCTGAGTTGCCCAGGCTGTACAGACTGTCTGCTATGGATGCTGGTCCAGCTCTGGGTCCTGGAGCTCCTGTAGCAGCTGTGTTGTTGTGAGGTGTTCCTTCAGCCACACTTGTGCACACTCTGAGATTGCACAAAGTCTGGAGAGTTTGCTTTGCAGTTCTGCTTGGTCTGATGGCTGTGGGAGAGAAAGCAATAACCCTGTCTGACAGACTGACCTTGAGATCCTACATCAGGAGTGGAAGTTAAGTGGGAGCAGGCATAACTCTTACCTGTTTGCAGTGGATTCCCTGGGGGGAAGGAAAAAAAAAAAAAAGAACATGAAATCTGACAATGCTTTTTTGTGGAATCATTTTTCAGAGAAGAGCTGCTCTTTGATATCTCTGATAGTTTGCTGCTCCAATCTGTCATGTTGCCGACTCTCTGCTAAGGTGTTTGGGAAGCACGGTTAAGTGACTGTAAGCATGGCAAGGGAAGCTGGGGCCATTTTTTTCACTGAAAGGAATTTTGCTGGAGAGACAGTATTTTTTCCAAGTCCTCCTGTTTTTATTGTTGTGTTTTGTTTGTTTCTCGCTGGAACCTGCCGGCTGCTTCACTGCCAGAGGGCCGGATGCGCCTTTAAGAGGTGGAGGTGCCTTTGTGCAGGTTGTGCGGGGAAGGAAGTGGCTCTGCACCCAGGAGGGTGGCAGGAAAAGGCTGGTGCTCGGCTGGCCACAACTTAAACTGCCAGTTCTGCCTTTGAGAGGCAGCAAAGAATTGTCACGTTAGCTTCCTGGGGGTCGATCGTTTGTTGCTTTATTTTTTTCCCCCTTCGGCACTGTCAGTTGAAACGCTGACCACCGCAGGCACAGCTGGACATGCTTAAAACTCTTCCACGGGCAGCCCTGAGCAGGCAGTGGCGTGGGAACGGGTGATGTCCTGGGAGCGGTGCGCGGCCGGCAAAGGTGAATACCGTAACCCGCAAGCACAGCCCAAGGGACCTGTCCGGGCCAGGCTGTCCCGCAGGTGACAGCAGTTCCGGTGGCAGCCCCCGCCCGCCTGCCTCAGTTTCCCCCGGCGGCGGAGGGACGGCTCCCGTCGTTCCGCCGAGCGGGAGCGCTG